TTAGGGTTTAGGGAATATTCTACTAATCATTTATTGCTTTATCAATATTCAGCGGCAGTAACTTTACTACTAGACGACGACGATGCTGCTGCTGCTACTACTGCTACTACCACCACCCAAGTCTGACTAAACCCTAAACCCTAAACCCGTGAGGAACAAGCTCGTGCCCTGGACGTCTGGGGCGAAGGTGAGCGCTGGAGCTTGGCACGCCCTGACCCTGGCCGTGGACTTGCCGAACTCGAAGATGACCCTGGGCGTATGGCTTGTGTCTACTTTAGGGGCCGGAATAATTAGGGTTTAGGGTTTACGGTTTAGGGTTTAGGGTCCAATGTAGGGGCTAGAATAATTAGAGTGGGGCCCAGTATACTATATACTATACGTATAGCAAGAATCCCTGAGGAATAGTAGAGCCCAACCCTTCGGGCCTCTATGTTAGAGGTTTGGAGTTTTGGGGGCTTAGGATCCGGGGCCTGGGGTTTACAACGACGAGTTCCTTTTTTGAAGCCAGGGTCTCGAGTCTTAGCTTGGCTTGGTGTTTCAGAAGTCTTAGGGTTTCGGGTTTAGGGTACCCTAAACCCTAAACCCTAAACCCTCAAGCCATTTTGGCTCAAGGCCGAGGGTTCGGGGGTTTTGGCCCGCTTGAAGGGCTCGGTGTGTGCCTTTGGCGTTCTCGCGGAGCCAGGCTTCGATTCAGGACAAGATCGGTGCGCTCGGCGGAAGCACGAGGCCCTTGCCGACCTGGGTGTTGCGATTCGGGATATCGAGGGGGCGCAAGGGACCACCATGGCTGACAGGAGGAAGGGTGGCCAGAAAATCACTCTCACTGGCTGGGGGGGGGAGGAGGCCGCCTCCAGAAGGATCCCGGACGACGTTGAGGCCTTGGAGTGCCCGCCGGGGATGGACACATCGGGCAGCTCGCCAAAACGAGCCGCAGAGGACGGAGAAGGCCCTCGCGGCAAGCGGCGAGAGCGGGACGGTGGGTCTGGCATGGTCGCTGGCCTTGATTTGGACCAGATGGAAAAGCTTCTCGAGGTTCACAGCACAAGGATCCTCAAGGCCCAGAGGGAGAATCTGGAAGGCATGATGTCACTTTTTGAAGCCAAGACGGATGAGAAACTCAGGCGTGTGGAAGAGAAAGCCGAGGGGGCTGATCGGCGGGCAGCAGCTATCGAAGACAAGGTGGAACAACTGCAAGGCCAGATGGCAGACTTGCTCAGGACGGGCAAAGGGACTGCCGGAAGGGACAACGATCGCCGCTTTACGCTTGTGTTCGGGGGATGGTGCCGAGACACAAGAAAGGGCGTCATCCTGCAGCAGTTGGGGGAAGCCTTGGAACGTTTGCAGCTTAGCGGGCATTTAGATGCGGAGCCTTTCTGCACAGGCCCGAGGCGGAGCACGGCCCTGGCAGTCTTCAGCCACAGGGGTGGGGAGAGTGACTACCAAGTCAGGAAGAGAATGCACTCGGTTATCATGGGATTGGCAGGAAACACCGTGACGATTCCCCATGGCAAAACCCTCTTCGCTACTTACTCGAAGACACGGGCTGAAAGGGCGATCGCGGGACATGCCAGCTGGGTCAAGCGATCGCTGGCGACACTTGGGGACGAGGTGGTTTCGATGCTTGACGTGGAATACGCCACAGGAACCTGCTGGATCGGTGGATCCACGGTGGCCTCCGCCACGCGTCCTAGTGAGCCTGGAGTCCGTGAGGAAGGCCTTCTGCGGGATGAAGTGGAGGGGCACAAAACCTGGGTGGATGTGGAGGCCATTGCTAAGGAGACACGGCAGCCCTATAGGGACATCAAGAAGGCGCTCGAGGGGGAGCGCCGCTGACCGGAGGAAGAAAGTTCTGAAGTTGGGGCTGGCCCTCGGCCCCCGACTCCTCTGTGGGACTTTGACATAAGATCATGGAACATTGGGGGAGTTGACGAAGCAGCGGTGCCACAGGCGCTCTGCGACCTTGATGTGCCCGAGACGGAGCATGTCGTGCATCTTGTTCAGGAAGTGCCTCGCCGGGAACCGGGGTGGCACACAGACGCAGCTGGAGGATGGTCGATGCTTAGTCATCGCCCTGAAGGGCGGTGGAGAGGGGTCGGGATCGTCTACAGGGAGCTCAGCTGGAAAATTGTGCGCAGGATCGCCACAGAGAGAGGGGTTTGGCTGCGGCTTCGGCATGTGGCCTTCGGGAGCGAAGTGTGGGTTGGCTCGGCCCATTTCGAGCCGGGGTGTACTCAGGCGACGCATAGAGCGGCAGTAGAGGAACACTTGCACAGACTGAGGCCTACGACTTTGCCGGTCCTGTTAGCTGCAGACATCAACGCGCAAATTCGGTGGGAGGAGGCCGAGGACGGTAGTGCCTGCCCCTCAGGTAGGGACGGTAAGGCCGTAGGATACCTGGACGCAATCGCTGGGCGAGGGCTACAACTTGCAGCTCCCCATCGCGACCAGTTCGACACCCCGACGAGCCAGCCTAGACAGGGTGGCAGACAGGGTAGGCAGATAGATTGCATCGCGAGCAAGGGAGTCCTGGTGTCCAGGCTTCAGATCTTTGTGGGAACGGCCAGGGCTTTGGGTACGGACCACGACATGCTTCAGTGTAGAGTGCACATGGCATCCAGACGAGAGAGAGTTGTGCACAGCACCAGACCTCGGGTCTGGACTGGAGGACCACCTGTGATCGACAACCTCGACCAGAACACATTGCGGGAGCTCGCGAAGACCTGCACAAGGCCTAAGCCGGGCAAGGGTTACAGAGATCCACCCGATGTTAAAGCAGCGGTCAGGGCAGCCAGGGTCAGCCAGACAGGGGTTGCATGGAAGGAGGTCCAGAACCGGAGAAAGCAAGCACGGAAACAGTGGGAAGAGAAGCGCATCAGGGAGGCCATGGCAGGGGACTGGGAGCAAGTTCGGCAGCTTCGGGCCACCAAGAACACGGGATGGGACACACATTATGCAGAGTGCCAGGGCGAAGGTGAGGCGCACCGATCGATTCACAACCACCTCGCAAGCATATACCAGACAGGTAGCCACCTTCCGGAGCTGGAAGCATGGCGGGGAGAAGTGCAGGCCTTCACCGAGGATGAACTGAAATCGGCACTGTCATCCGGGAAAACCGGAAAAGCAGTCGGCATCGATCAGACGAGCCTGGAACTTCGGCGAGGCATATGTGCTACGGAAGGGGGAATGACACACTTGCTCGAATTCTACAAGGTGCTCGGCGGGACTGTGCTTTGGCCGCTGGCGGCCCTACCTATGGATCAGGCCAGCCTGGGGCTTATCAACAGTCTGCAACTGCAAATGTGTGTGTGTGTGGCTCATGAGGGTCGCGAAGAAGCAAGGGGAAACGTGGCTACAGTTTCGAGAGAGGGCCTACAGGGATGCAAGATCGGTGGTCTATAAATACTCCAAGAAGAGGTGGTCGACACTTTGGTTGGAACGGTGGTGGGCTTATGCGGGTCACCGAACCCGCTGGAACCTACATACAGGCCTCAATGCAGCCACGATCATCGACTCATACCGCACCAGGGTTTGGTGGCTCGAACAACAAAAACGGCCTAACACGGGCACTAAACATCCGGGGCATATCTACCCTAAGTTGATGAACATGGAAAGGGACATGGCTTGTGGCGGGGGGACCCTGGCGAGAGAAAACCTATGACAGACAGGGTTGGAAGGAGCTTGCAACGACATGGTGCGAGCAAAGGGACCTCCCGTGGGCAAGTTGCAGACAACCCACCCTCGAGAACTAGGATGTTGGGCGAAAGTTTCACTGACTATTCTATGAGATCTACATTGGGGGATGTGTTGAAGAATCACGGACATGGATAGGGAAATGAGATGAACAACATCTTTCTTTGTCACACCGGGCGAGGCAGAGCTTGAGCTTGCGAGGGCTGTAGCAGATGACGGCACGCTCCTGACAACTTACAGCCGTGCTTGGTTCGAACCTTTATGCACCTCGTACGATGCAGCACATGTTGCTGATCTCCGTGTTTGGGTGGATGCCCCTTGCATCCCTACATATCCTCCATATCTTCGCGCTTGCTCCTCAAGGGACCGAGTGGCGCTTTCATGATGAAGCAAAGTTTGGCGCTTACGCCATTGATGACCCGCGGCACATCGAAGAGGAAGTCGGGAGGACGGAAACCCTACTACCACATGCTGAAGACCAAGGCCGGGAGTCCTTCCAGAGCGATGCGGCACTGTCTGCATCGCAAGTACGGCAGCGGCCGTCCCAGGGAGATGCGGGGAAGGGCAAACACATGGGACAACCCGGAGGGCACGATCGGGGACTCGGCGGACCAGATCGGCGGGTCGTGTACTCCCGGCTGCACACCGACTACAAGGATCCGGAACTACCTGACGAAGATGGAATGAAAGAGAATCAGAAGATCTCGACTGCCAACAGTAAGCTGTGGCTTCAACGCCAGAACCACCAACCGAAATGGCCTCCCCATGAAAACGATTCCGGACTAATCGACCCTGATCGGCGGCGCGTGTACCCCCTGATGCCCGCCGATTACATGAAACCGGGACTACTTGAAGAAATGGGACCGGCACTACCTCCAGAAGCGGAACACCCGAGGGACGTCAAAGAAGGTGTGCCTACTCCAGTGCAGAACACCGCTGCCGTGGGCGAAAAAGTGCACCCGATGCAAACGCCTCAAGATGGACAAGCCGGGAATGCATACCTGGAGGAGCTGAGACAAGACCTGGGGCGCGACTCCCCTCTGCTGCTTGCCGATTACATGGGACCGGCACTACCTGAAGAAATGGGATCGGCGCTACTTGAAGAAGTGGAGGACCCAGGGGACGTGAAAGAAGGTGCGCCTACCCGAGAGGAGAATGCCGCCGCTGAGGGCGAGGAAGTCCACCTGATGCAGACGCCTCAAGATGGTCAAGCCTGGATCGCATACCTGGAGGCGCTACGACGGGAGCTCGAAGGGGCGGACAAGGAAGCGAAGCTCCGTATGGCCCAATACCTGCTGTGCCGACTTGATTGGCGCAGTACCGACGCCCGAGAAGGGTATTGGCTGGGGCACATGACCGGCAAGGTGGCTGACATGACTGCCCTGCTGGTGGCAGCGATGGACAGACAGGAGGCTGACCTCGCGGTTCTGCTCCCGACGGTGGCAGAAGGACTCTGGGCGGAAGCGGAAAGGTTTCTACACATGCATCCGGGATCCAGACGAAGCAGAGGCCAGGCCCCCGGAGAAGAAATGCCGCCCATCATGGCATTTTCGAGGCCGGCCCCTACAAACACGCCAACAAGTACCGCCGGCAAGGGCCGAGCCGTCTAAGCGACAATGCCTCATGGTCGAGATCGCCGCCAACACAGGGGGGGACGCTGCCTTGGCGACTTCGCTTCGTGTCCCGCTGCACGATGGCACGGCAGACCTGAACATGAGGATCACGGTGCAGGAGAACGGCAGCAGCGACCAGGAGACGGTCAGGGTTCACCAGGAGGCGAACGAGACGGAGCCAGCCAATGGCACAGCACCGAATTCCCACGCAACCCTTTGCAGAGCCGGACCAAGGCGACGAACACGGGCTTCTCGCGCTGCCTGGGCTCTCAGGCCTCCTGCCCTTCGCTCTCACTTGGAGCACTGGCGCGATGGACCATATCCCTCCAACCTTTATGATGGCAAGGGACCAGCTGGCACGTCTTCGCAGGGAGGGTTGGACCAGGAGACAGCAGGCGAGCATGATATACGTCCTGGTGCAAAGACGGGGACATGAGGAATACCTCAGCGAGCTCCCAAACTACTTGGCACAGCTTGACCTGGACTTGGATGTGGACCTCTCCCCCCACAACCTCCCAACGGCCCCGCCGGTCATGGAATGGATCGAAGCGGAGATCTGGGACGAGTACATAGACTTCTTCGAGAGCAATGCGGGGGCGGAGACGGAAGCGCTTATGAACCTTAGGGAGCAACCCAGCATGCCCCCGGCCCAACGACAGAGGTGGAGACAGGGGGCGCAGCCGACTACTTCGGAGACCAGCACGGGGAGAACCAGGTCACGCTCTCCAAGGGACACATGTGCGAGGCCGGTGGGCACTGAACCTCGGTCCACCGCGGCAGCCTCGTCGAGACTTGTGGGCGAACCCGAGGAGGACAAAGGGGATGGCACGTCGCTGATGCAGAGGAGAGGAAATGAACATGCCAGAGACAGCGGACGCAGACGGCGACGAGGACCAGTCACAAGAGGTAGAGGACGAGAGCGTACCCCACCCAGGGCACACAGAGGAAATGCTACACGCCGCTCTGGACCGTGGGTTACTGAGGAGACCCGGCGACTACTTCCCAGCAGCGGCCCCAGACCCAGCACGGGAACAGGCGAATGCCCGAGAATGGAAGGAGCTGGCAGGCATGAGGGTGGAGCATCTGGCAGTGGGGGACCGGAGATGGACTTGCTGCAAGCCACCGGACGGTGGCTGGAAATCCTTGGACTCCGAGCAGCAGGAGATGGTCAGGTTGAGCCATCGAATGCAATGCTACAAGAAGCATAGGCAACAGCCAAGCGGGAGCTGAAGCGCATGAACGAGCGGGACCTCGGCACCATGTTCAGGGCGCTCATGAGGCTAATGGGCATGCTGTACATCGAGATGACTCGCATCTTGACCCAGGTGCAGGACTACCGCCTCCGCATGGGCGATATGGTTGAGGTGGAGGTTGAGGACGACGAGGAGGAGCAAGATGAGGAAAGCATATACATGCAGGTCGCCATGGACACCCGTACCAGGCCTTCTTGGGAGCAGACCTTGCAGCAGTTGGTGCGGCAAGGGGATGAGCAAGGAAATGCCGAACTCATGCGTGCACTTCGCCGGCGTATATCGAGCAGTCTCTACATGCAGACATCGCGTGGCGTGCAGCTGCATGCGGCACTGACGGCAGTGGCTGCTGATCCCGGAGCAACACTGCCACAATGCGAAACTGCGCCCCAAGACGCCAGTCAAGTGGAGCAGTGGTGGAAGCACCTCAAGACCTACCTGAACCTTGTGGACGAGGACCGCGACAACAACTCCGCCGGGAGCAGCGGGGACCGTCACCACTCAGCTGCGGAGGTGGCTGAATGGAAGCGAGAGCGAGGTGAACTTGCTGAAGAACGTCTGGTGGCCCAGGGCGTGAAGGAGCAGGAGGAGACGGCACGGGAGCAGGAACAAGACGAACAAAACAGACAGGACAGTGAGCTCTACGAAGCTCATCGGGCAGCGGTGTACCGAGACTGGGAACACTGGTTGGTTCTCAACACGCCGAATGTCCAGAAGCGGAGACGGCTGGTGATTACCTCCAGAACCGGGCAGCCGACAACACCGAACGAGCCCAACGTGGGGAATATCCTCGACACGACGACCCTGACGGTGCCCAACATGGCGACGCAGTTCCACCTCCAGCTGCACATGGAAGACTACCAGGAAGCGATCCAGCCGGAGGCGAAGGAGATCCAGCCGGGGGTCAGGGTGGGAGCGTCGGAGGACAAGTACCAGCGGGTTTACAAGGCCTGGAAAGCGGGGCACATCGATGACCTGGGAGTGGAGCTCTTGTTCGGAGCAGAATGGGTGATTCTGTTTCATCTTGAGGCGGAGAATGGCGGAGAGGCGGGAGATGAACAGGGGACGACGGATGCGACACAGCGACGGGGGATGGACACACAGCTGGATCTGTCATTGGGGAGTTTGCCTGGGGTCCATGGTGATGGGGAGGGTGAACCGGATAGGGTCGAGAGGGAACAGACGCACAATTTACCGGAGATCGATGAGCAGCGGGGAAAGGAGTGAGAGAGGCCTAAGTGTGAGACCCACAAGCCTGCCCAACAAGGGCTTTGGAGCGCAAGCAACAGAAAAGGCCCTTAAAAATAAAAAGAAAAACCCTAAACCCTAAACCCTAAACCCTAAACCCTAAACCCTAAACCCTTAACCCTAACCCTGAACCCCAAACCCCTAAACTGTAGGTTTGGTTTAGGGTGTAAGAATTCGTGGGCCATTTCTTCGGGAGTCCCTGGCCCTTAGCCTTTTCTTCCAGTGTTGATGGGCAATGTCTATCTAGGACATTTTCAGGTGGGTAGTTACGGTTATAGGAGCCTTATAGAAGACTTCGAGCACCGGCAGTTTTGAACCATAAGAGCTTTTCCTGGATGTTGCCCTAAACCCTAAACCCTAAACCCTAAACCCTAAACCCTAAACCCTAACTCCATTTTCGTTTGAGAGGCTTTTGGAGACTCAGAGCTCTGGTGTTCTGTGCCTCTTGAGTTTAGGGCTTCAGGGGGTTTTGGGGTTTACGGTTCAGGGTTAGGGGTTCAGGGTTTAGGGTTTAGGGTTTAGGGTTTAGGGTTTAGGGGTTCAGGGTTTAGTGAGTTCAAGGCATGGGGCTTCGGTAGGAGTTCGATGCGGTTCGAAAGTGTGCACCGCTCTTTTTATGGAAGCCCTTATAGGGAGCTCTTCCGTTAAGCCTGGTGAGCCCTATGAACGTGTATGGATGCATTCCTTGCACCCGTAACCCTAAACCCTAAGCCCTAAACCCTAAACCCGAGACAGAAAACCCTAGACCCTAAACCCTAGACCCTAAACCCTGAACCCTCGACCCTAAACCCTGGACCCTAAACCCTAAACCCTAAACCCTGAACCCCAGACCCTAAACCCTGGACCCTAAACCCTAAACCCCAAATCCTCAGCCCCCCAAAATCTGTCTGGTGCTTAGTAGGGAGTGGGGGAATGGATCCCTATGATAGCCCCTTAAGGTCCCTTATAGTAGCCCCTTTTACCCATTCCCCCATTCCCTACTAAGCACCAGAAACCCTAAACCCTAAACCCTAGACCCTAAACCCTAAACCCTAAACCCTAAACCCTAAACCCTAAACCCTAAACCTAAACCCGGAACCCTAACGCTGAACCCTAACACCAGACAGAAATCTGGCTGTTCTCCAGGACCATCTGGCTCGATGGCGAAGTAGCCTTGGAGTTCTGCGACGCCTCCTCGCCGCTGCTGAAGTGTCTGGGTCCTTCGTTACTCAGGGCTCCTGAGGGTTCAGGGCTTCGGAGGGCTTAGGGCTTAGGTCCTTCGTTACTTCCTAAACCCTAAACCCTAAACCTTGGGCTCCGGAGGGTTTAGGGCTTCGGAGGGCTTAGGGTGCTGAGTTTATGAATTAGGGTTTAGGGTTTAGGGCTTAAGGGTTCTGAGTTTATGGTTTGGGGTTTAGGGCTTAGGGTTCTGAGTTTATGGTTCAGGGTTAAGGGTTTAGGGGTCTAGTCTAAACCCCTAAACCCTCAACAACCCTAAACCCGAAACCCCAACAGCCCTAAACCCTAAACCCCAACAGGGTTCAAACCCTCAACCTCAAAAGCCCCAAGCCCTAAACCCTCAACCTCAAAAGCCCTAAGCCCTAAACCCTCAACCCTCAACCCTAAACCCTAACCCCCATCAACCCTAAATCCTAAACACTAAACCCTGAACTTTAAAAAACCCGAAGCCCTGAACCCTTTACTTATAACCCCAACTAAGGGACTTATAACCTTACTAAGTC